ATAGTTCATTTATTACCCGCTATCGTTTTTCAGGTTCAGTTTTCATGACCGTTTTTTCTTTCGGGCTACGAACGCAGACTCATCAGACACGGGTTCCAACCTTCCTGATCTGGTGCTAGCGGCAGAAGATAACGGAAGTCTGGAGAAGAGCCATTTTGTACACTTCCTCCAATATAATCTTGGCCATCCCCGGGGTCCTCTGCCGATCGGCATTCGCCGCTCATGCTCAGATCATCACAAAAGTAACTTCTCAGTCTGAAGAAGCAGCGACTCTACACCAAAACTCTCGCGGATGTTTGTATTCCGGATCAGCTCGAAACGCGTAAGGCCAGCGACTCGTCTAAGAAAGCCCATTTCAGCTGTTCCCCTGATCGACGTTTTTTAGTCATGTTCCATGACTCATGACCGTAGGTAGGCATGGGGATTAAGATCTGCTTGAATGCCGAGAGCTTGGTCTTCGCACTTAGCTCTACTTTAGTCACAAGGTTTTTGCAAGTTCAAACAGAAGACCATTGGCTATTCCAATCCGCCTGACTGACTGGCCTGCGAACCTTTCAACCTTTTCATACGGTTCTGGATATCAGTTTGAGAAGATGCTAAAAAACAGGTTTGTATGCCAGCAGCAATGTACTCATCTTGATATCTCCAACGCTGATATGCTCCTCGCCCTGCCTGCTTCTGATTATCCTGTCAATGTACAATACTGACAAGAGAGATGACAGAACGCAGCCTTGGCGGAGACTAGCTACGGTGCTGAAAGGTATCGACTTGGCGCTATTTATTCTGATGCAACACCTGCAACCTATAATGACTGAATAGTCCGTAGCAACTGGCCATCGATCTCGTATGTTCGCCCGTTGATTGTTACGCGGGATTCGGCAATTGGCTTTCTCTAGGCCAACAAAGCACATATTCACCGGATGGACGAACTCCCTCGATTTTTCAGCAATCTGGCTTAGGGCGAATTGCTGGTCAGATGTGCTTCGGCCACACCGAAAGCCGCGCTGGTCTTGTATTTTAGAGTCGGTTATTCCACGGTACTTCCTTTCTTGCACCTTTCTGTAGACTTTACTTGGGAGGCTAAATAACGTAATGTCCCTATAATTGGAGCACTCCTCGTGGTCTCCCTTCCTGAACAGTGGTACAACAGCCATTATCCTCCAGTCCGCTGATGTCTTTTCCATAGTCATTGCAGTTTGACAGACACGTTTAAGCCAGCTCATACCTTGTTCGCCGAATGCCTTGAGCATTTCAGGACAGATTTCATCAATTCCAGCAATTTCAACTCTTAAGTCTTTTCACAGCTTTTACAATTTCGTGCTACTCGATAGGCGAGTCGTCCTGCGGTTGCTCTGGGTTAAGGAGTTCCTCAGAGTACTTTCTCCTTCGCCAAAGAATATTCTTGTTTTCAGTAAAAGGGTGTCGAGATCTGTCCTTCAAGACTTTTAGCCCTTGGAACCGGTGGATGGATTGCCGGAACAAGGTGGTTATCTTTCGACAACTCTGAGCCTGTCTTAACGCGAACATCCATTCAAGTGCTTCGTAAGTCAGACGATACGATTATCAAATCGATCATGGGCTTCTGCGCTTAAGCTTTCTTATACCAGGTATAAAAATGC